TGTCATAATCCTCTTGCCCTGCAGTATCAAAAAGTCAAAGAGTATATGGCTCTCCATGAATCATAACTGTGACTGCATAGTTGTCAAAAAACAGTTGGCACATATTCCAACGGAAATTTATTTGTCGTGTAGGATATCAGGAGATATATTTTACTAACAGCACCATCGCCCACAACAACACACTTAATTGTCTGCATTGCTGAAATAGTTTTGTATTCACTTTAAATATTTCAAATCTGATGTTGACCTCAGCTTCTCCACCGGGGCCTGTCTAGGATTTTTGTGAAATCTTAAGCTACTCAATTTGTTAAGGCTACTTTTAATTTGAAAACACCTTGCTATTGGGGAGGTAGCTGTTAACTGACATTTTTCTTTCCTACCTCTTGAAAATTGCTAACAACTGTTCTGTTATTTGCTTTGATGGGTTTTAGTTTTATTGTGTCTGCTTTTTTACTGCAGCCTGCTTGAAATCCTTTGTGATAGTGCATATAGTATAAGTAAATGCATTTGTTTATAAAAAAGAATTTGACTTAACTGTTTCTTCAGGATGGGAATGTCTATATACACATACTTCATAGCAAAATTAAAAAGACAAATCTCTAATTTGGAGCCATCATGAAGTAGTAGGGAAAGTATTATAATAATTTGCCTTTTTCCATACTTGGAATACACTGTAAATAGAAAAAGAATAACTTGTTAATTTTGAAATTATTCTTCTATCTAATATTATGCATTGGTTCTACAGGCTTTGTAGCTGAGCAGTTTCTAAATAACACAGCCACTCAACTGACATACCATGGATTATGTGAACTAACTTCAACGGTTCAGGAAGGAGAACTTTGTGTGTTCTTTCGGAATAATCATTTTAGCACCATGACCAAATACAAGGTATGATATAGAAATAGCTATTTAATCATTATCCTAAAACAAAGGAGCTTGATTTAGAGATGTCTTCTGGTCTGCTTATAAAAGATTTTAGCATAATATTTCTTAACCATCAAATTATGAAGGTAATTATTAAATACTGTACTTAAAGATGGGATGGATTAACAATTGAAGTGTTACCTCAAATCACTTTGTTTTTTAAATTCTTTTTCACAGATCATTGCATTAAGAAATATTTTTTTATTTTCTTTCTAAGAAAATAAAAAGATAAACCCTAGAGATAGAACTAGGATGATGACTTTTTTTTTTTTTTTTTGAGATGGAGCTTTGCTCTTGTGGCCTAGGCAGGAGTGCAATCGCACAATCTCGGCTCATAGCAACCTCCACCTCCTGGGTTCAAGCTATTCTCCTGCCTCAGCCTCCCGAGTAGCTGGGGTTACAGGCATGTGCCATCACTCCTAGCTAATCTTGTATTTTTAGTAGAGACGGGGTTTCTCCATGTTGGTCAAGCTGATCTCAAACTCCTGACGTCAGGTGATCCGGCTGTCTCAGCCTTCCAAAGTGCTGGGATTATAGGCATGAGCCACTGTGCCCCGCCAGAACTAGGATGACGTCTAATGATGGAAGTTTATGTTTCAATGCTAAAGGAATTTAAAATAAATAAATTTTTGTATTTATTTTGATGATTTGCCTTTATGATAATGTTTGCTATTATTAAAGTTTGATAACTTTAATGTGACCAGACAGTAAATTCTTCAATAATGTGTAGCTTTAAATTCTTCTTACAGTGCCATTTATGATTCTCTGTGAAAAACATTTACTGGTTTACCCTTTTTCTCTCTTATATCCATCCTTTTTGTTTTTATAGCTATCAGTTCATAAGTTTCTCAACTTATATCTAGATTTCTTCACTAGTACTGTAGAATACTTTTCTGATGCCGTCAGTAATACACCAGAAATGTTCAGTAGCACTTCATGCATAAGGGGTAAAAATACAAGATATGTTCTATTTGCCAACACTTTACTACAGCCAAAATGGTGTCTATTCACTGATAACCCTCCATCCCATACACACATTATACCTTCTAAATTCTGCACTTCACTGCCTTATCTCACTCCTTAATCCCTATTTGGAAAGCTCTTCTCATTCTTTTTTGCCTGTCCAAATTTTTCCTATCCTTTAAGAAGCATTTCAAATACTAACTCCTTAGTAAAGGTACTTCTTCTCTCCGCAAACCAGTGATTCTAAACCCAAATTGTATGCTATAACTATATGAGAAGCTTTTTTTAAAAATGCCGATACCCAGAACCTACCACCAACTTCATTAAATGAGAATCTTTGGAGGTGGGATCTGAGCATCATTAATTTTCAGTGCTTTTCAGGTGATTTTAATGTGCGGCTAAGGCGGAGTACCATTGTCTAACCATCCTGTAGCTGTTATTGGCTACATCATCTTTTTTTTAGCTCTTATTAGTTAATACCTAGTTACCAGTTTTCTTCCCATGTAAATGTGTCATTTTTTTTCCAAGTGAAAGTAGCTTATTAAAGTCGTGAATTACATCTTCATATTTTCTTCAACACTTTAGTCGATGAATTACACAGAGTAGTATAAAATGATGATTTGTTTCCTTATTTAAGAATAACCTAAAGCCCTTGCTCTCCCATTCCTGTCTTAGTTATAGCAACAGCTCATTTGTTTAATTTTAGCTAGATGTATGTCAGAAATGGGCCCAGAGTCAGCCACACTCCTCAGAAATCTCAGGCCAAAGGACCTCAAGATCAGAATTATTGCTACATGGTGAATACTGCTAAATCATTTTACTTCTTACTTAACCTTACCTTTCAAGTCTAGGATTTATTCACTTATTTAATGAATATTTACTGAGAATGTATCATGTCTGGGTACTCACTAGTAGTAGGAGTCTGCCATGAGCAAGGCAGCTATGGTTTCTGCCTATTAAGGACCTCCTAGTTTGACAAGGGGCAGATATTAAACAATTACAGAAATAATTATTCATTTATTTCTATTGAGATATGTTTTGTTAAGGATACTTACCACAAGCTGTGAATGCTTTTATCAGGACTTACACCTTAGTTGCTTTTATCAGGACTTATAACTTAGGGAGTATCAGGAAACACTTCTTTGAGAAGGTCACATTTAAAATGATACTTGAGGCCAGGCACAGTGGCTCATGGCTGTAATTCCAGCACTTAAGAAGCCTGAAGGGGGTGGATCACCTGAGGTCAGGAGTTCAAGACCAGCCTGGCCAACATGGTAAAACCCTGTGTCTACTAAAAATACAAAAATTAGCCAGGCATGCTGGTGGGTGCCTGTAATCCCAGCTACTTTGGAGGCTGAATAAAAGGAATGAAGAAAGGCTAAATAGATAGGCAGGCACTAGATCTTGTAAAGTCTCAAGAGGAGAAATAGCCCTTGGTTCTTTTTCTTCTCTCTGGCTCAAGAGTGAGCAGAAATGAGATAGCTCAGTGAGGAAACAAAGTTTTTGGCTGTCATTGGTGATTGTTATGCAGCTTCCCAGATGCTTCCTTTTCTATTGACCATATCTCCTACCAGGAAGTCCTTCACTGGTCAGCTAGGTATTCTCAATCTTCTTATATGGTTGGGGAAGTCTGAACTAAAAACACCTTTCTATGAGATAATAGTAACTCAAGGAATGTGTGGAGTCTGCTATTTCTCTGCTTTTAAGTTTTTCTCAGTAAATCTTAGTCTGTGACTAGACAGTATATCACTAGTGGTATGTATCTTCCTGCTCCTTGCACATTAAGGTGCTTTGGACTTTGAGCCAAAAGTGAATGTGGGATTTAGTTAGGAGACTCTTTCCAGGAGCCAATTGAGAGATTATAGTGACGTGGACTAGGATGGTAAAAGAATGGAGAGTAGACAGATTTCAAAGACATAGAAAATGAGAAAATGTAATCAACCAGATTTGGTGATTGTGTGTGAAAAATAAAGAATGATTTCTGGGTTGTGGATGTGGATGAATGGTGGGGAGCTGCTTTTTGCTTGTTTGACACAGGGTCTGACTCTGTTGCCCAGGCGGGAGTGCAGTGGCATGATCACAGCTCACTGCAGCCTTGACCTCCCAGGATCAATCGATCCTTCCACCTTAGCCTCCCAAGTAGCTGGGACTACAAGCTCACACCACCACATCTGGATAATTTTTGTGTTTTTAGTAGACACAGGGTTTTGCCATGTTGCCTGGGGTGACCTCAAACTCCTGGTCTCAAGCAGTCCTCCCACATTGGCCTCCCAAAGTGTTCGGAATTACAGGTGTGCACCATTGCACCTAGCCGTAACTGTTTATTGAAACAGAAGAGTAGAACAGAAGGAAGATATAAGATTAGCCCTGGACTGTTAGAGCTGCTTTCTGAGGCGTCTCTCCAACTGAAAATGTTGGATAAATTGTTCGATAGTGGAACAATTTTGGTGTACAGATAAAATATGGTATGAGAAAAAAAGAGAAGGCCTAGGACAGAGATGTGAGGCGTGCCAACATTTAAGGATCAACCAGGGGAGTAAGAACTGGCAAAGCAGATTGAGAAGCAAATAAGAGGAAAAATCTAAAGAATATAGGGGGCTGGGCACAGTGGCCCATGTCTGTAATCCTAGTACTTTGTGAGGCCAAAGCAGGTGGATTGCCTAGTATTTTAGGAGTCCAAAGCAGGAGTTCAAGATCACCCTGGGCAACATGGTAAAACCCCATCTCTACTGAAATGCAAAAAATTAGCCAGGTGTGGTGGTGGGCAACTGTAGTACCAGCCACTTGGAAAGCTGAGGCAGGAGAATCGCTTGAACCTGGGAGGCAGAGGTGGTAGTGAGCGAGATCACCCCACTGCATTCCAGCCTGGGCCACAGAACAAGACTCTGTCTCAAAAAAAAAAAAAAAAAAAAGAATGAATGAATATGGGATCTTGGAAGCCAAGAGAGAAAGAGTGTTTCAAGAAGGATGGAAATCTCAGTTGTTAACTGCTGTTGAGAAGATGGGCGAGGTAAGAATGCTGGAGAGGGAGCTGGTAGAAGTGGGGGTTGGGGTAAAGAATGATGGCAGCAGAAGAAACCCAATTTGAATTGGTTAAGAAATGATTCGATTAATGGAAACTTGTGAAATGTTAAAACAGCTTTTTAAAAATTAAGAAATGAGGCCGGGCGCGGTGGCTCAAGCCTGTAATCCCAGCACTTTGGGAGGCCGAGGCGGGTGGATCACGAGGTCAAGAGATCGAGACCATCCTGGTCAACACGGTGAAACCCCGTCTCTACTAAAAATACAAAAAATTAGCTGGGCATGGTGGCGCGTGCCTGTAATCCCAGCTACTCAGGAGGCTGAGGCAGGAGAATTGCCTGAACCCAGGAGGCGGAGGTTGCGGTGAGCCGAGATCGCGCCATTGCACTCCAGCCTGGGTAACAAGAGCGAAACTCCGTCTCAAAAAAAAAAAAAAAAAAAAAAATTAAGAAATGATTAGAATATCAGGGAATAGAAACAGATTGTAGGCAACTCTTTGTTTGTCTATAAGGGTGACATAGACATAATGACTCATAATACTAGTGGGGTACAAAACCCTGGAAGGGTTTTTTGGTTTTGTTTTGTTTTGTTTTAGAGACAAGGTCTTCTTGTCTTGTCCAGGCTGGAGTATGGTGGCCATTCACAGATACGCTCATAGCACACTGCAGCCTTGCACTCCTCGGCTCAAACTGTCTTCCTGCCTCAGCCTCCCAAACACTGGAACTACAGGCACGCCACCATGCCTGGCCTGTTTTTGTTTCTTAGTATGAGATAGTTGGTCATGGTTAAATATTGTAATATTTAATAGAGAGGTTAAAGATTAAGGAGAGGTTGATAATTAATGTTAGAAGGCTCCTAAGGAGGTGAGAAAAAAGATAAAAACTTTTATAAGTAAAGGAGATTGACCTTTGGTTGTATTTATTTTTTGTATTTATTTTATTTTATTGTTTATTTATTTTATATTTTATTGAAACAGGGTG